AAGTTCCCAAATTCACAAATTACCATACAACCATATTACCAAATACTCATATAAATATCACGATTATATTTTCGTCTATTTAAAATTTCAAAATTTCAGAATCTCAGAATCTCAGCATCTCGGATCTCGGAATCTCAAAATCTCAAAATCTCAAAATCTCAATTTCCCAAATATGCTAATTACCAGCCTACCAATTTCCCAAATTCCCAAATTACCATATAACCCTACTACCGAATGCTCATATAAATATCACGATTATATTTTCATATATTTGAAATTTCAAAATCTCAGAATCTCAGAATCTCAGAATCTCAAAATCTCGGAATCTCAAAATCTCAAAATCTCAAAATCTCAGAATCTCAGAATCTCAGAATCTCAGAATCTCGGATCTCAAAGTCTGAATTTCCCAAATATGCTAATTACCAGCCTATCAATTTCCAAATGTCCAAATTACCAGCCTACCAATTTTTCAGAACCTCAGAATCTCAGAGATTGTAATATGGTATTGTAATATAATATTCCTTTGTAACGAGGATTATTAGACTGTGAGGTGTCATAGTTAATAGAATATGATAGTATCGGATTGTAATATGAGGTATCAGAGCAAATTGTTACACATTCTTACACGGTATAAATGATCTTGTACACCATCGCTATTTTAGCACTCGATGGCACGTAACAGTTAACGTGTTAACGGTAGATCGCACTTTTTTACAAAGAAATAACGAATTCAGTGTCTGACGTCTGCACGAACGATTCCGTGATTGAACGAACAACGCTCGATGGTGTCCGAATAATCTCACGTGGAAATCACGAATGTTCGTGCGCTCGCGTGTTTGACAGGGGATAATGTAATGAACATTGAAGTTCGTTACGATTTTCTAAATTATTCTGAACACGTTGAAAAATCACAGAATTTGTTTCCGAGGGACCGGAAATTGCTGAAATATTCACTCTCGAGGTAAAAATCAGAGATCAAAATGTTCAGCGGCCGCTGTGCACGGTCCAAAATTAATGGAAACCTGCTACATAGTTGCACATGCATGCCCTGCATTGTGCAAAAGAATTTTCACGGAAACTGCCCGGCGAACGCACATTTTTTACGCGGTGTCCTGCTATGGGCAGACCGGGAAGACAAATGATTCCTGCGACGCAGACTACAAACGCGGACTGCGATACTTTTTCAAGAGTTTCTACTGAAAAGCGGACTTAACCCTTTGCACTCGAGAGACGACTCTGAGTCGCCGTTTGATTTGATACAACAAAGTTACAAAGCGTTGTATACGGTATTAAGTTTTATGTAATGCATCAATATGCGAAGTATTCATCTAAAACAGCTTTGTTTCTTAATTTACGTGTGTTTTCTCATTAGTTCGTTTGAAATAGTATTGTCTGTGTTTTATCGGAATGTGTCGAATGTTTCTAGGGAAAAACTTCCGAGAGCACACGGTTAAATTTATCAGAGATCATCGCTCCTATGCACTAAACGTTCGTTCCGATTAATACGACCGTTGAATAAAAAGGTTTCTAATTCGAAGGTACACAGTCCATAATAAAGAAAGAAGCTAAATAAGAACGAACTGGAAGAGTCGCAAATAGAATTCATTTAGTTTACCAAATATAGTAAACACTTGAGATATTTCAGACAATATGAACTATAAATTATATAGAGCTGTATAAACTGTTATACTAGCAGTCTGTATAATATACAGAGTGGAAATTATACAAAAATGTTTCAGACGAAAGTTGTTCAATACCGAGGAGGACATCATACGGTGGAATTTTTATTTTTCCTGGACACTCCAAGGTGAGTTGAAGGTCAACTTTCTTTTTTTAAACAGAACGATAAGTTTTTTAATCCATCATCAAATAGTCCGTTTCAAGACGAATTCAACGACCTATAACTCAAGGTCATTCAAGGTCAAACTTGCAGGGAAATGGAGAAAAGGTGTGATCGTTTTATTTGTACCTTGGTATGTACTCAAAATGATTACCTTGAGTAGGTCCTTGTATTCGTTTTGAAATGATGGTGGATAAAAAAACGTATGATTCCATTAAAAAAAAGAAACCTCGGCTTGGAGTGTCCACCAGGAAAAATAAAAGTCGGTATCGAACAACTTCCGTCCGAAACATTTCCGCGTGTAATCAATATTTTCAGAGATATTCGAATTATTTGATAATTTCCACTCTGTACAGCGTGCGCGCATAAATACAGACTATACAAAGTGTGCTCGAAGCAATAATGTTTAGGATGGTATAATTCTTACGATGCTTTATTATTTCGTCCATCGGGCCGTGCAAACGTTCCGCGCCAGAGGCCGTTCTCTGCGACAGCGTAACTCCGGATGCTTTCGGGTCATCTGGCCGATCGATGGGCCGTTTCATTTATTAATGAAATTTAAGTATTCAACGGCGCGGATCATAATTCTTTACGATTCCTCGTATGACCGATGAAACAACAAATCCCGTTCCGACCGGATGCCAGCCGTCTCGTAACTATTCATAATCGCGTCTCCTTCCGCGTTGAGACTCGCGGTCCCACGATCGATTTCCTATCCCGCCTCGTCGGCCGTCTCCGTTTAACGATACAACGGTAATGCGCGACAACAAGCCGAATTTAGAAAAATCTAGGAAAATCTAGGGGAGTTTGCGGTAATCCGCGCCGCTGCGATTTTTAATAAACCCGGCGGCGTTCGCTTAGGATAACTCGATTATCTCCGTTCGTGGAATTAGAGTGAAAAATTGGAAAATATGGATACCGAGATAAAGGTAAATAGCGAGGAGACGTGGATAATGTGAAAGTAAAAAATAAGGAACGGCATATTTCGGAATAATGCGAGTAAATTCTAAAATGGAAGCGAAATAATGAAATCGTTGTGCATAGTACGTTCGCGAGAAATTGTTATTTTTAACGTGAAATGAAACTCGTGCATAATGTTTTGAAAGAATATTTGGAACGCGAAATAAATACCTCGTTCTAAAATGCACGCGTAAAATCTGTGTATCGTTACACGAATTATTTCAGGGAAATGCTTCGGTTGTCATTTGAAAAAATAATTACTAACGTCATGGAGGGCGCACGTTCAAATATCTTTTTAATGGGCATTTCGTGAGGAAACGTGCGTCGAGAGTTGCTAACGAGTTTTGCTACTTTTCTGAATGCATATTAAACCTTTGGAATACTTGCACAAAGGTGTTGGACAAATTGTTTCATAGTTTTTTTATGTTCGGTGCGTTTTGGTCCCACCCGGAGATCGGAAAACGTGTTAAATACTTAAAACGAGATAAAAGGCTCTGCCGTTTGAACTTTCCCTATTAAAAGTTCGAGTTTGCTAATTAAAATTCCCTAATTGTCGGTAAATCCCCGAAGTCTATTTGGCGAAGAACCAGAAAATTATTTCTATGCACGGAGACAAACGCCGAAAGTTGGAAACTTCGAAAATATTCCCTACCGAATTGGAGTTCGAACAGAATGTAATTCGCTGAATTAAAAATGAACCGAAGCCAGGCCGAATTTGATTACAGCTCACGTTTCCGAATTTTTTTGAAAATTTGTATGCGCTGTGAAACCATGGAGCTTCATATTCTGGTTACAATGGTCGAAAATGAATAATAATTCAGGTCATAATGAATGCAACAGAACGTAGTAGAATAAAACGGGAATATCAATGTAGAATCGATAATATTTAAGACAGTTACAAAATTCATGGCGGCGATCAATTATTTCCTGCCGATTTCCGGTTTATTCGGAAGTGAATTAAAATCTGTAATAATCAATTCATTCAACACTCAAACGTTCAATAGTTAAATTCAATAATTAAACATTTCGAAACACACATTAGACATTAGTTCCCATTAAAAATCCTCATAACACGTTCCACTCATTCAAAAAACCAACCTCTCCAAAAAACATCAAGCCTGCAACACCGAAAAATTCAAAAAATCAAATATAACCGAAAACAGACTATCCCGTGATATTACCCTCGATATTAAAAACCCTCGTGAAACTCAAAAAACTCATTAAATTAAATCCATCGAAACCGACATGAGCCCTCATTGAAAAGACAAACCCGACAACTGTTCCATCAAAAGAGAAAACCAAAATTCACCCCGTGAAACCCGAAAATCCAACCTCAAGCTCAAAACGATAATCAAAATCAAAATCGAGATCAAATGTTGTAGTGAATTCAGCAGGA